ATAGGTGTGGTGCGATTGGACGTGCACGACAATGAAGTGGTGGTCCATTGGTGTCGATGAAATGCTCAACGTCGTTCTTCGGTGTTAATTTCATTGAAGTTATTCTTGTGATACCAGGGTATTCTTCGAGGATCTTGTGATACGGTTGTTGCACATCTATGCTTCTGATTGTGGGCAGATTGGTTGCTTGTACAAAAGACTGAGATGCAAGATTGGTTTTCCCGTCGATGATTCTTCTATTTTTGATGTCGACGACCAACTGGTGATGTTGAAGAAAATCAGCACCGATGATTGGTTTGCTGACTTTAGCGACGATAAATCTCCATTTGAATGGTCGGCGTAGATTAAAATCAAGTTCCATTGTTTTTTCTCCATATGTAGGAATAACCGTATTGTTTGCTGCATAGAGTTGAAAATCTAGTGGCTTCAACTTCTGTCCTTGCTTCGGCGGTAACACTGAGATATTTGCTCCGGTGTCGATAAGGAAAGTAAGCTTGCTTTTTTTATCGGTGACGAAAAGACGGTAGGACTTTGCTGTTACGCTGGATCCCGTCGCATCGAGCGTACTAGTTAGTTTTCCGTATTCGTATTTTCATTTTTGAATGTACACGGTGCTGTGCATTTTCTTGCCTCGACCCCGAAACGTCGATGATAGTAGCAGTAAGGGGATCTTGATGTTGAGCTTATTCGACTTCTACTTGCAGAGCGGTTGCGACGAAAAGGTGATCTTCGGTGTTGCTGATTGCGCTGGTTGTACTGTTGCTGGTAAAAGGTATGATGCTGGGAAGCTTTGAGCGCGGCGACTTCGAATGATAGCTTCCGAATTTCTTCGAGAAGAAACTGGGTATCATTGGCCTTTGTTGAAGTGCCTTCGATGATCGTTATGTGTGAGCTACTGCTGTTTTCGATCATCTTGTCCGCCAGGAGTGCCAGTTCGTCGAGCTTCGTCTGCGTGCTGAATGTTTCGCTGACTGCTATTACCGATCGAATATGTGGTGGTAGGTGGTTTACCCACATTAGCCGTAGTGTTGAATCCGGAACTTTATCTCGCGCCAAAGTACGCATTTTGCGTAGGAGTTGTGTGGGTTTCTGGTCTCCAAGTTCTATTTCTGATAGAAGTTTTTGTAGCTGTCGACTGTCGGATTCTTCGTATGCGGAGATCAGACGATCCTTCAGTGAATTATACTGGTCGACTGCTGGTGGGTTGTACAACAGGTCCGCAATTTGTTCGATGTCTTGTTTCTCAAGTTGGGCTATCACCATCTGTGCTAATTGCGCTTGGCTCTTCTTTAAACCATTCGTTGCGGCTTCAAAACTGACGAACCAAAGTCGTGGTTTGTCTCTCCAAAACGGTGGTGTTCTTAACGATAGAGATATACCGGCGATTTCTGGTTCCTTTACCGGGTTTGATGTATATGTGTTTGCCTCCTGCTCCATAATGACGGCTTGATTACACTGATTTTATATAAACTGAAGTCTTCCTTCTCGGTGTTCGTACGGGTTTCCTTCGCGGTGTTCGTGCAATAGTAGTGGTACGTCGCAGGGTGTTCCTTCTTGGTGTTCGCACCGGATCTTCCCCCCTCGGTGTTCGTACGGGGTCACCACTGTAATAGTGGAGACGAACTGTCCACTATTAACAGACTCCGAGTGGTTTTCTTTAAGGTGGAGAAATGAAACTACTGTTTATACCGGGTTTATGAATGTACTGTCGAATGGGATTCGGAATGGAATTTCTTTTGCATCAACCTTGCCTATATTTATATGGCTGGCTCACTATTGATTTGCCAATGGTAACAATTAATATTTTGCCTAGCCAATTATATTGCTTATTTTATGACCAATGAAAACTATTTAAAATATACAATTATCTACGTTTCGTTTCCCGGCGTGAGACTTGTTTGTTGTTCACGAAGCTACGTCGCTGGACCGGGCTATATAAGACATGCAGATCGGTGCGCACGCGTAGTCGGCGGGCGGCGGCGGTGTGGAATACAGCTCCGGAACAGCAAGAGGAAACGAACTGCGGCGTTGAAGAAACGGCTCACCATTGGTCGACGGATACGTGACGATAGCGGCGTGTGAAGTCGGTGTGGCGCTGAATGATATTTGCGGCTGCTTCTTGTTTCTTTATAAGAACGTCAAATTATCTATATACAGTCCGCAGTATCTCAGTAGCCAAGAATAATTAGGAAATAAAATGTTTTTTTTATTTATTCTCGCCTTCTGCGTTATGGTAGCAGCGGAGTATATATTATTTATTCCCGTTTCGGTTTGATTAATCTGGCTGCTACACTGTACAGAAGAGGTTAAAGTGACGCTATTTAAGACATACTGCCAAAGCATGTACATGGGAAATCTGTAGGTCAAACATACCAAGAAATCGCTAGACACTCTTCGAATCCAGTATAACAATGTCTTCAGGATGATGTTGGGCCTGCCGCGGTTTTGCAGTGCATCGGGAATGTTTGCAGAATACCAAACTGATGGCTTCGATGCCATCATTCGTAAAAAAACGAACTCCCTGATTAGCAGAGTGAGGAACAGTTCCAATAGCATCCTGAAGACATTAGCACACCGATTTACTTCTCCAATTTGGAAATGCTTTGTGCGAAGAGTGACGATTACGGGAACATACCCTTTCCCCCTGATGGTCACTCATAGTAACAAATATAACTGTAGGTAATTAATTTATTATTGTTATTGTAATGCGTATAATTTTCCATCCCAATTAATAAAATACTAACATATTTTGTAAGCCATTTTACTAACACACTATGGATGTACAAGTTGTCCGAAAAAAATGATTTATTATTATTATTATTGTGGAATATCTATATAGTTTTCTCATCTGGTTGGGATGTATAAATATATAATTATAAACGAAAATGAAAAGATAAATATACATAAATATCAATAAAATAAAATAAATACAAAAATACATAAATAAATAAAAGCCCAACCAGATGGAAGCCCTCGGCAGGGGAGACCAAATGGCCGAGGGTTAGGGGGAAAGGGAAAGAAACCGGCGGACGATGCGGGCGGTATCAAGGAGCACCGCCTTCTGCATTTGAGCCCGGAGCGGTCCGTCACGGAGTCCCAGTCGCCTCAGATGACCAGAGAGGCTAACTGGGATTAGCCCATTCGCAGAGACGACTACAGGAATAATTTCGGCCGGCAGACCACCCCACATGTCGGTCACCTCGTGAGCCAGGTCCAGATATTTTGATTGCTTGTCTGTTTCGGCTCTCACGAGGTTCTCGTCATACGGGATGGTAATATCGACCAAAAATATCCTTGACTGTGCCCGGTCCATCAGCACAATATCAGGCTTATTCGCAAGAATAGTCCTGTCTGTGATGATGGCCCGGTCCCAGTAGAGCCTGGCGCGGTCATTTTCGAGCACGGCTTCCGGCAAGTACTTGTAATACGGCAATTTCCGGTCCACGAGACCGTATTTCAGAGCGAGCTCCCGGTGTAGAATTCTAGCTACTAGGTTGTGCCTGTGCAAGTACTCAGAGTTAGAAAGCGCTGAACAACCGGAGATGACATGCCTAAGTGAGTCACCGGGATGGCGACAAGCTCGACAGACGTCGACGGTGCCATCCTTTAGGATGTATCTCCGATAGTTGTTGGTCTTAATAACCTGATCCTGTATTGCACAGACAAAACCCTCGGGTTCCCCCGAAGAGGTCACCGAAACGTAGCCAGTTGAGGGAGGCGACTGTATCTACGAAGGGCTCATGTAGAGCCTTGTAGTACCTCCCGTGGAGCTCCTTCTCCTTCCATACGGTCTCCCGGTCGGAAATGCTAAGCACTGCTGGGTCCTGCCATTGCTCGTTGGCTAAGGATAGCGGGGTAAGCCCTTTATCACTAGAAATGACGTCATTATAGAATGGATCATCCGATCTCGCCAAGAAGTATTGACGGAGACTGCACGCTTCGCGATTATGCATGGTGAGCGCGCTCAGAAAGCCACGCCCACCATGCTTTCGCGGCAAGTACAGCCTCATTACCGACGATCTCGGATGATGCATCCTATGGGACGTCATGGTAGTGCGGACTTTTCTATCCAGGGCGTTAAGCTCAGTCTGAGTCCACCTGAGTATGCCAAATGTATACATGAGAACAGGCATGACCCAGCAGTTATATGCGTGTGACTTATTCACACCGGACAAAAGGCTGTTAAGCACTTTGGTCAAGCGTGCATAAAACACGTCGCAAACTGACTGTTTCATACCAGCCTCATCGATACCGATGTTCTGTGACATACCCAGGTATCGGTATATTTCAGCCTCGGAAAGGGTCCTTAAGTTGACGGGCATAGACTTGTCTCAGAGTTAGCAACCCTTCCCCTTTCAACATGGAGGACCGCACACTTATCCGTCCCCAGCTCTATTCCAATGGAACTGCTAAATTCACAAGTGATGTTTAGCAATTCCATAAGATGGGAGCGACTGGAGGCGAATAACTTGAGGTCATCCATATAGAAAAGGTGGGTCACTTTTGTCCCTCCTTTCCGTAGCTGAAATCCCCTCCCGGAGCCCTCCAGTAAGGTACTGAGAGGGTTAAGAGAGAGGCAGAACCAGATTGGACTCAGACAATCGCCCTGTAAGATACCCCTTCTTATCCTTATGTGGTTCTCCGCAGCCGTCATCCGCTCGCCCATATGACAAAAGATCGTACTCTACTGCCCCATACACTGCTCGAGGAAGTCTCTAACTGTACAGTCAATCTTGTACAGCTCGAGGACCCTCTTTAGCCACGCATGGGGCACCGAGTCGAACGCCTTTCTGTAGTCTATCCAGGCGGCAGAGAAGTTCCGACGGTTGCGTTTCACCACTTTGCCTATGACCGCGTCAATGAGGAGTGGTTCCTCAGTTCCACGACCACCGCCCCGACATCCATTTTGAGCGCGTGACATCACCTGGTTTAGCTCCAGGTGACGAGTGATTCTCGCGCTCAAAATGGATGTCAGTGTCTTATATATGGTGGGTAGATACGTGATGGGGCGGTATTTGCTCGGGTCTGTGGTATCCTGATCTTTAGGAACCAAGTGAGTGATCCCAGTAGTGAAGAGGCTCGGGAGTGACTTCTGGTCGAGAGCCTCTTGAAACTGTCGGGCGAGCACAGCGTGACACACTATGAACCCCTTCAGCCGGTAATGATGCAGCCCGTCGAGCCCCGGACTTTTCCAGTTCGGGGCCGTACGGACCGCCTCAGCCACGTCTTCTGGCGTTATGGTGATGGATTCCATAGCCGTAACACTCGCACCCTGGCTCGCTACAACTTCCATCCAAGGGCCCTCGCTGTGGTTTACGGGCTCTGACCACAGGCCACGCGAGTATGCGATAATGTCAGCCTCCGGTCCTTGGCCCGCTCCACATACCTTTGGTCGCTCCAATGATTTATAGAGCCTCTTCTGATCACTCTGGAAGAGACGATTCTGGTTGAACCGCCTTGACCCCTCGGAAAATCGTCGAATCCGCTTCCCCCAAGCAGCGATCTTTTGCTTCAGGTCGTCTATGCGCTCCGTTAGATTCTGCGTGATATCCGGCTGGGACAAACTGATATTTGTCCCAGCAAACGCCATCCTTACTGTGCGCACAATCCTCGGTCTATTATTACCCGACCTGAAGCTTGTCAGTCTGCCGATAATGGCCCTTGCCTTTGCGATACGGTCCTCGATTCTTTTTCTCCATGCTGGGATGGCGTTACTTTGTGTAGTAGCGCGTCCAGCCATGGGAAGTTTGGCGCCAATAATACGGCAAACTGCCACTGCGGCTCCAAAGAGAATCGAGTCCGTCTCGCAAAGGTCCCGGCTGGCTTCCAAATAGGTCACCAGCATTGGGTTAAGAGCCCTCACGACAGCCCGATTTCGCTTGCTTAGGGGTATGCGGGGAAGTCGCGGTCGATTTTCGAGAGGGGTGCTGCGCGTTTCCAAAATCGACTCTTCCAATATACTCCTCATTTGCTCTAGTTCGTGGGAGACTATTTCATCGTCGTTCGAATCAACCACAACTGGAAGATCCATGGCGGCCTCCACGTGTGGATGCTGGTCTGTCGAATGTGGAGCTGCATCTCGAGCCATAGCAGATTCATTCGACGACGGAATAGCCTCACGTCGTAGTCGTTCGAGTTCGGCATCATCAAATATTTTCGAGCGCATGATGTACCGAACTCGGTCTGCCAGGTTTTGTTCCGTGACGGAGATAGACGGCTCCAGCTCAGCAAAAAAGCAATGCATCCGAGACCTATACGTTATTCCCACAGTTTCTTCCCCTTTCGCCCCTTAGTACGCCCGCAATGCGTTTTCGTTCATGGATTTTGTCCAACGCATGCGACGTGCTCCACCAGCGGCGGGTGCCGCTTGCTGGGTCCAAGAAGACCCAGCCGACACCAAGCCTTCTGGTGAGGATGATGGATGCGAGGGGCTGCTAGGTGATCGTGCAGCTCCTCGCGCTCGGCTGGCGGCCTGCATGCTGCCGCGTCCAGCGCCAGCTCCAGACGCGCCCCGGCGACCCCCAGGCAGCGGTCCTATGCGCGTTCCTTTCTGTGCCATCATCCATTTTATGGGCGCCAAATAACGGGAGACGCCCAAGCCCGGTACCGTTTCGTGGTTGGGTCATATGAACAAACGGACCTTTGCATCTACAATTTTGCCTAGGCATGGCGCTCACACCTCTTGGCAGGATGCTGACTGACTGCGCCGACGTCGCAGTTTTGTCATATAACTCTTACGTCAGCGGGCGATGGGGTCGTCACATGTTATTATTATTATTATTATAATAGCATTGTCACATGACTCACCAAGATGCAAGGCGTGAGGTTTGAAAGGTAGAGCGACTATGCCTGAATCATTACGCGTATGCTTGTTTTCAAAAATTGAGTGAGGGACTTCTGTTATTGATTCTATTTACCGAAACCGCTGGAGATCAAATTCATCGTTGAAGAAGCTGTGTAATATGTGAACAGGGAACAAAGTTGGGAACTGAATATAAAAATATAGCTAACCTAACAGCAAATATTCAAAAATACTATATATTGCTATAGGTGTACCAGGCACCCCGGTTACCATGTTACGTAAAAGAATTTGGCGAATTATATCCACTTCAAGCAAAATTTTTACTGGTTGAGCTGTGAAAAAAACAAGATCAGCCAACGCCAAATTTTTTGTGTGTGAGCATTCCTTATAAGTAAATAGACAAGAGGGCATTTGTGTAGCTTCGATAAGATTAAGGCATCGATTTGTAACGAAGATTGTGTTTTATTTTTTGGTGTAATATAGCACGAAACTAAGCCTTTTAGATTGACCGGTTTGTTTTCATTAATTCTGTAAACAGGAGGAATATTGACAGGTTTTCTCATTAAACCTAAATACTGTACTCGTGCCTCACTAATAAAAGAGCGCACGGTCGATCGCTTATGATTATTTACGTAAACATCGACTAGCGCTGTTGACAGTAGCACTGTGCTCGTTCGTAACGACGGAGCAGAACTAGATTGCGCGCTAGCGTCGCGAGTATAGTGATATATCGACGTCATAACTAACTGAGCATCGTTCAACGTAGCGGGATCGTACGCTGTAGTTGGGAGTGAAACGGTGCTGTCATGCAGATCAGCTGTCTTGGTAACATCAACATAAAATTGATTATTGAAATGAATTACCGTATGATGAGGTTTTGCACGTTTGACGCACAAAATTTGATCTGCATTGCTTAACGTCGTGTCCAACATGTAAACAATTAAAGCAAACTTTTTACCACAAATAAAGGTATAGCGCTCCTTAGGTGATAAGTTTAAAACGTTGGACATTTAGTTAGAGTGTGTTGAGCGTCACAGCATATACAATGGAAATATTTAACACTCGGAAATTTGTTCGAAGTATTACATGTAGACTCTGAGACCGGCTGTGATGTGTATTTTCCTATAAATATATGGCGTGCGCCCAAAGATATCATTGTGTTACCACCGCTGCCTGATGGCGGGTTTGATTTTGATTGGCCTTCGTGTTTATAAATCTGACTGAAATTCAAGTGACAAATTTTGCTTGCTCACAATTCTCGCTACAAAAAGGATTATTATTATTAACTATTATTTACGAAAATAATTAATTAATAAATTTAATAATTAAATAATTTCAAACATCTCAGTCCATTTCCGGATGTTACAGAGCCAGGACATTTTCCTTCTACCAATACTTCTTCTACCCGCTACTTTGCTCACCATAAAAGTCTGCAGCTGTTGTTAACGTTTATGCCTTAGCACATGTCTTAGATATGCAACTTTTCTCTGTTTGATGGTTTTGACAAGTAGAGGCTTATTTATTTTCATCTGCTTGAGGACCTCAATGTTGGTTAACTTTGTCTGTCCAACTTATTCGGAGAATACGGCGATACATCCACATTTAAACTGCTTCCAGTTTCTTACGGAGATCTTTCATAATCCAAGATTCGCATTCGTATAGTATGTCAGGCCAAATATAGCATTGTGTGAGTCTTGTACGCAGTTCAATTGACAATGTTCTTGTAATGAGGACTTTGCTCATCCTCATGAAAGAGGCTCATGCAGTTTCAAATCGAACTCGTATTTCCATGTCACTCTCCCAATAATCAGTTACCCAAGATCCAAGATACTGGTACTTCTGAACTTACTCGATACTATCTTGTACAAGACATACACTGCACTACTTTGGCGCTCTCGAAATTACCATGAATTTGGTCTTAGATACGTTAATATCAAGTCTTGCTCTTGTGTTGCACTTGAATATGCGGTCTAGTATTTTTTGAAGACCTTGTTCTGAATATGCAATAAGAACAGTACGGTCAGCGTATCTCAAGTTGCTAATAAGTCGAACCATTAACAAGGACTCCTTCTTCAACATCTTCTAGCACTTCGTTTATCGTTATATACGAGTGAAGTATACAAATCATAAAATGAATTCCAGTCAGTACTATTACCCGGAAAACTGCGCAAGGGAATTTTAGGTAATTTTGGATTGTGGGTTTGTGAAAACGATTCTGAGATAAAGGACCTACCATACGCCTATCTTGTTCATCATCCTGTTTTAAATTGTTCAAATACGTGATAAATTCATGACTAAATCGGAACGAATTTTAATTTGTTAATCTTTATTGAACATTTTTGTCCTTATTAGACATTTTTCTATTTTAGTTTTCAATTTACTAAACTATCTTTGTTGTGCAGTAAGATCTTCAGTTCACGAACGGAACTTTTGTTCATCGGTCGTTGCGAATTGTAATGTTCTTTTTAAATCATCTAAAATTATATCGCGGTTGGACATATCCCGTTCGCATGAAACATCACACATATATTGTTCACCTAATGCTGGATTCGGCATTTTGCGTTGCAAAGATGGCCTATACGACACGTGGACGAAAATACGTATGTACGTTAAATTCAAAAATTTTAACTGTGTGTAAAAATTAATCCAACAAACAAGCACAAGACTATCTGATATTAACCGACAACACATATATCAGTCCTAAATGAGAATCAAAATGCATAAGCTTTGTCAGCGTAATACTTATTTACCACTCCATTGTGAAATAGCAATATTGTGTTGTAATTTTATTTCGTATTTCTGAGAGAGCGTTATATTTTCCCAATCGAGTCTATGTTGTATAATACTTTGTTCGCGACTTATTCTAATACAAAAACTTTAAGATATTTTTTCAATTCTTAACGTTTAAGGTGATAACGATGTATTAGAATTTATTACAACCACGCTAATTGTAAAAGAAAATTAGTAATAGAAAGATAAAAATAAAAGAATAAAAAGATTTAGTATCATTTTTTTAACAATCAGCAATCAATGTTATGCATTACATAGCAGTAAACTCGTATTAATATTCTTATCATAAGCTTTTTGTAAAATTTACACACGAATTTGCGAATACAAATGAATTTCTGCACAATAAAGCTTTGAGTGGCTTTATTGTGCGAAATTTCAGCGAAATCAGTGCGTATATTTGCAAACAAAGTTATTTCTGCGTATTCACACTTCAAAAGTTTACGTTACTAGAGTTGTAATATGTTGATTCTCAAGGACCGAAGCGCTGTTAATAATATTTTCCTTAACTATGACGTTAAATAAATTTTTTTCGCTGTCATATAATTTCTCGAGGTGACAAAAGTTTACAAATGAATGAACGTACACATATAACGTTTACAATCAATCATACTATCGAAAACAGAATTAGGAAACCTGAAACGTGGAAATTCATAAAACTGTAAATAAGGTATATTATTAATAAAACAAAAAAGCAACAAAAAATTTTCTCTTTTTTATCTCCGCGTAACCAATGAAATACTTTATGTGATAAAATTTTAGAAAGTTCAATAAAGCAACCTATAATTTACGACTTCGGCACAAACAAAGACTCGGTCCATGTTTTTACCTAATTTGCGTCGTTCACATTGTGAGCGTCCTATATAACACCTGTACTTTGTTAAATATTATTTATTTGTAGTAAATTTTACTTTTTCACACTATATATACAAGTACACAATAGTTATTGATCGAAAATCTGCAGGGTTAAATTCCTTTAAAAAATATTAAATTATTCAACTAATTTTTATACCCTTATTGTAACGCTTAATAATATAGCATATTTCTTGACGTTTCCATTAGAAATTTCACTTTTTTTTGAAATAGTAAAGCTTTTTCAATAGATAATGAAGTATTGGAATATTTGTATAAGATATTAGACAGAAAACTAAAAGAATTAATTTACCACCTGTTTATTTTCTTGTGTTAAAGACATGTTCGTTAATTAGCACCAAATATACATTTCCGTCAACTCAACATGGAACTCCAAGCACTTAATTTATAAAACAAGTACTGCTTGTATTTACCTATGTACCGGCAAAAATAATTAAGACTTGTTGAAGGAACATAAATAGCATTATAATGTTTGACAACCAGTTAAAATGGGAACAGGTTTTAATGCGAGTAAACCTTTAAATTTTCAAGATGGTTTTAATTATAAATTTACAAAGCTGTTATTTTCTAAATTATATTTAAATTATTAAATAATTATAGAAAAATGAAAATTTCCCAAAATCGGGAATTTATTGTTTGTACACGGTTTTTCGAAAATTGAGTTTTAGTCTAATCATGATGTTTTGAGGTTATGGAAACATTCCGGTATTAAAGATAAAAGTGATATTATGTCACGTTTTTTTTCCAATGCTTATTGGTACCGGCTTTGCAGTATTCTGCTTTAAATTAAAATCCTTTTCTCGTCGCGTGTTCCGTTTGAAATTAAAGGTATTGTGACAGACATTTTTTGTATTTTATGACGCCATACTCAGCTTCGTAACACAGCCACTACACATCATGCCATTTGAAAATATTTCCATCATCGTCTTTTTTTTCGGACAACTAACGACCCTTTCAATAATCCAGCGAAGTCAAAAAATCTGCTTGCCGCATTTCTTTAACTGTAAATTTTTTTGCTGCTCGACCTGACTAATTGCATCCAATCATGTGGATGATAAATTTCAGTTTCAGTTTTTTTCTTTTTTTTCTATAATTGCATGGTCCAAGTCCACCTCCATAAATTTATGATTTATTAACTAAATAGAGGGTTTTACTGACAACAAGTAGGTAAACATTGCAGCCACATGGGTGTTCTTATTTTGTCTTCCGCAAGTATTAGAGTACAAAATTACTTCTGAAACTTCTTCAAGTTCAAGTTCTTTTAAATATAAAAACAAACAAGAGGCTATTTGATTAGCTTCTCGATCCGAAATTCCCTCATACCACATGTGGTGCGTTGACATTCCAGTTCCGTTGTCATGTATCGTAATATTAAAGGTCCAAAGTTGTCTTTTGTAAAAGGCTACAGATAATTGCAAAGCTGGGGTTGGCAAGCATTGTTGTAGGTCAAAAGACCGACACTTGATTTTTTATCTGTAACTGCGGTATTTTTGAAACTTAAATTTAATTTGTGGAATTCTCTACGGTAAATATTGTCACTTACAGGATTTTCATGTGAAGTTGAATAAAGAGAATACATTTTTGATATCGTCAAACGTGATGGTAAATATTTCCGGGTGCTTTTGCGTCTAGTGTAATAGCTTTCATAAAGCGAAAACAAATTGATATGATTAATCACCTCTTTAATTTTTTATTCAGAATGTTTGTTCGGTGGTGTATTTTTCCCACGTTTATTTTTATAATGCCACTTGAGCTGCTACGTTTCGTCAACCCGATTAGTTTAACAAAATTATCATTTATTGATAGGGTTTTTGGAAAACACCCTTGACACACCGATATATTTTCACTATTAACGTTGAAATGATACTTGTAAGTGTGCTGTCTACATTTTTGTTTGTCAGGATCTTCGACACGAAGACGTTGAGTTTTTTTTCTCTTGGATAGTGATCAAATATTAAATCGTAAGACCCAAGATTCTAAACCTCCTTGTGTATCAAAGCGCGCTGTTTATCACTTATTTTATGTCGGCACTTATTCCGACAGTTAGGTAATTCTTTCATTTGACGTTTCCCAATAGTTTTTCCAGAAGCTGTCATATAAGATTGGCCAAGATTTTTTTTAAATTTGTTTTCTTGCTTCTTTTTTCTACAGGACACTGGTTGGTTTTGTTGTAGCAAAGAAATATCTCCAATGTTTTCAGGTGTCTCATTGTCTGGCGTTATATGCATATCCACTGATGCATTAGGAACAGCAATTTCCATTTCTTTATGTTGTGTAAGTAAGCTAGGATTGCCCGGAGAGTAGTTAGGATCGGCCACAGAATCGTCACTAGAAAAGTCACTTACTGTTTCATCTAAAATAGTTTGTTTTAGGGTTCCAGATGTACTTGGTTGTGGGTTACTGAATGGGTTTTCGTCACCTGTAAAAAACAACAATAATAAAAATTGATAACAGATTGGAAATTGTGATGTGTGGTAATCTCAACTAAAGCTATTAAACCGTTTAGCATATTACTTATTGTAATAAAATAATAAACTAACTTTCACATCAAAAAAAAAACTTTTACCCCGACAGAAATTAATGGGATAAGAGCAGGAAAAAGAAGTTCACAACGTAACTGTATTCACATTCATTGCTGCACTGTCATTACTTATGGCGAGATTCACCAATATTCTGGCCCTTGAATCCATTGCGATACAGTTAACTTAACGTACACCACCACCTTCATACAGAAAATAATAACAACTAATGAAGAAATGTGTATTTCTTTTGACTTAACTAAAATTTACCACTTTATCATACCCTTAAAAAAGGGGGTATGTACTTAAAAGTATTATAAAAAACAAAAACGGACCAATTTAAAAAAAACACTTAAGTCAGTCAGCTTGCAGTATAAAAAAACTTAAGTCAATTTAAGTAATTTTTGTCGCCGCTCGATGTGTTGATAAAACATAAGTTATATGGTACAGTCGGCTCTTTAAGTGTCGGAGTAAATTAAGCGTCGGAGACTTACGTGCATTTTCCAGTTGATGGATGATACAAAAACATGATTGCTGTAAATATGCTGCATATTTACAGCAATCAAATTAAATGTAATTATATAAAATTGCCTATAGAATTACCAAAATTTACACTATAATTCACTTTACACTAATTAAAACTTAAAAGGCACTAATAATTAATCACACTGATTCACTTTATTTCGCTCCGAAGCTTCGCTTGTCTCGCCAAATTCAATACTGCCCCGATCTAATGCCCAAATATTCAAGTAAATACGCGCGCCAACCAACCAAGCGCCGAAAGTTCGACTGTATGGCTTCTATAAAGCTTAGTTCATCAATTCGATACCAGAAGGCGCTGTCGGTTGAAAGATTAGTCATGTTATTTTCTGGAAAGCTCTCCTCGCTCTGTTACCCGACACATGATGGCGCTAGTACCAGACGTCAGCTTAGGCGCGCAACACTGCCACCTCATAAGACATGCTCGTCCCGAGCATTATCGGCCCCATAATAACACGCCAGGCTATCTACATGGACGATCTTAGGAGTCCCTCTTGCGCCTTTCTGTAACAGCTCCGCAATGTCAGGGGCTATCCTATCCCATGATGCACCAACATTGTACAATTGATACTCCTCTACTACGTGTCTGAGGTGCCTTCACAGCCGCACAACTTGTACATGTGCGACACCAATCCTCGACATCGTCACGATAAAGGACCCAGTAAAACTGTTCTTGGATCTTCATTAGAGTTCGTTTAACTCCCAGATGAACTCCTGAAGAACCATTATGGTGCAGCTGTAGAACATTTGGCACTTTAGCTTTAGGGACAACCATTTGCAAACGAGAGCTGTCTCCTCGACCATTTTACGGCACAGAACTCCACCCTGAATCAGCAAGCTGTCCCATTGGGCCCAATAGCTTCTAGTGGTCGAACTCATCGCTGAGACGTCGCTCCACTTAGGCTTGGTAGCACGGGCCTTCATCCATTCCGGAATCGGCTTGATGTCCGGATCTTCCTGCTGTGCATGTCGTAGACTGTCCTTCCACTCGTTGCTGAGGTGGTCTGTCCTGAGCATCCTCACGGATACCACTTCCTTACTTTCTTGCCTAGTACAATGTTTGCAATCTTTAGGACAAGGTCTTCTTGACAATGCATCTGCGTTGCCACGAGATTTCCCGCTGCGATATCTGACATTAAAATCGTATTCTTGCTGCTGCTGGGCGGTGATGTTAGTCGCACTTCCCTTCTGAGATCGTTCACCTTCCCTTTCTAGGGTTCGCTTAGGGCAGCTGGATCGAAGATGGCCTCATTCCCCACAGCCATAGCACCTAGGGCTGTGTCCTTTATTGTGGTCGCGAACCTTAACTGCTGCAACATCCCTATCGTGAGGGGAACGATGATCCTGCCGCCGCCAGGCGGTGCCGTTAGCTGCACTACCCTCTCGAGATTGATCAACTTCCCTTTCTACGGTTCGCTCAGGGCAGATGGGTCGAAGATGGCCCCTTTCCCCACAGCCATAGCACCTAGGGTTGTATCCATTATTGAGGTCGCGAACTGCTGTAGCTACTGGAACCTCCCTGACGCGATGGGAACAAAGATCCTGCCGCACGGCTTCCACCTCCAGTGCATGGGCCAAGGCGTTTTTAAGCGTCTCGTGGTGCCTGAGCCTCACAGTAGCTCTGACTTCAAGGTCGCGGATGCCGTCGATGAATTTCTGCACCAGGTTCCCTTCAATGAGCGCAGGTACAGACTGGTATGCTTTTCGAACCATCTTCTACACCTCAAGGGCCCACTTCTGCAGGTTTTCGTTGCTGAGTTGCACGCGATCTTCAAACTGCGCGTGGAAGACGTGTTCCAGGTGAGCGTCACCATATCTCGCCTCCAATGCCTCAAGGAGCTGCTCGTAGGTCACTTTCTTACCGAGAGCTTCCAACACAGTTAAGGATTGGTCGCGCAGGCCTAGGGTGAGTGCAGTCATGGCTCGGTTTTTATTCCAGCCATTCACCTCCATGACAGCCTCGAACTGGATTTTGTAGGCTGACCAGGAAGAAGTCCCGTCGAACGGCGGCACTTTGAACCCACGTAGCGAAGCTATTGTAGCTACTACGAGAGCTGTAATTCCATCCCCCAATTTGAGGTCATCCAGCGTTTTCTTCTCGTGAGCTTTCTCGATTCGGGTTTCAGCTTTCGCAATTTGGGTTTCAGCTTCCGATAGGCGGTTGTCATGCTGAGCAACCCTATCCTTAACCTCCTTTATCTCCTTTCCGAAGGTAGCGTGAAGGTCCTTCATGAGGTGCATCTTCCAACCGACGGACCTGTTCCTCTTGTCCACCCCAGCTGCTCTTCCAAACGACGGGCCTGTTCCTCTTGTCCACCCCGTAGCTGCTCTTCCAAACAACGGGCCTGTTCCTCCTTTACTAAAATTCAAATTCAACGTCATAATTTGGTGAAATTTAGAGCGCTTCGCATTTCAAATTAGCAGGAAGTTCCAGGGATGGCCTTCAGGGACAACCAATTTCTTTAAAAGGATCCGTGGCGCAGTGGCTTAGCAACGAATTGTAGCGCTAAGGGCCACGGGACAGAATCCCGCGCGGAACTGGTAATTGTATGGCCTACAAATAATTGTTCGTGGTTCATATGTTATTTTTTGTGAAATTTATGTTGGTAAACTTACAACAAAACCACGCGACACATAAAATATTAGTGTGAAAGTAATCAGTTGTGACAATTTTCTATCCGATAATATTATATAACAAAAAAAAATTGTTTTGATTGGCCTTAAACTGTTGCTGCTAGTTTGAAATGTATTATAATATCCATCCATTCAACCATTTCAGCCTATAGAAGCCCATTGCCGAATACAGACCCCCGCATAAGCACACAGTCTACATAATGTTAAGTGGATGCTGTAGCCCATATACACATAGATCAATCTTCGATTAAGAATAAAAATACAGCTATCTGCGTTGTCACCCACCAGAACCTCGTTGCCAGTCATGGAGTCTACGGTTCTATACTCACCATATAAAATAAATCAATATAAATGATGTTTCACGCTGGTATTCTGTAACAAATCTACATTTTAATTTTAATCGCGCAAAGCTGTAGGTGTCTATGGCCCGTAGCACGCACTCACCATTAGGTGAACTGTGTTCTCGTTACCACCCTTAATACAATAAAAAAAGTATTTAGATCTTTGTTTTTAAAAATAAATTACTAAGTTGTGACTTTCTTTAGAAACAAGACTTGCATTAGTTACATTTTATGCTGTATAATTGAATCCGGCCTACGTTAATTTTTCATCGTTTATTTGCTTCAAAGTTTCACTTACTGTGATAAGCCTTATATGTACGCCATTACACACACGCCATACATACGCCATTACACACTGAGAGCAGCTTTATCTTAATGGAAATTATTCCACCGAGCTGTTTCGAATACATTTAAACTTTATAACGATACCTCCTCCGATCTGATTACAAAATAGAACACAACGATAGATTTTATAACTGATTGAACTGATTGAATTTATTTGAATAACTCGAACTGTATCTCATTATCTGTAACTTATAAGTACATGACTTTGTGAAATTTAAATCGCAAAGGATGTGCGAACTGGTTACAAATACTGAAAAAAATTGTGGAAATATTAAAAATTACAAATTACCAATCAGAGTTATAATTACATGTAAAGCTGAATGATGTCACGTTAATCAATTTTCTTGTTAAGGGTAATACATGTATTTATAATTTAATGTTATTTATTTATAAGTCAACGTTAACCGTTGTATTATAAATAAATTTAATGTTAATTTTTACCATTGTGAAATCTTTACCATTTGACTATATTTTACGTGCGAAATAACACTTACAATTACAACGACAACAATCTCGATTTAGGTTAACTCTGAAAATAGCACTAATAATCAACTCTGAAAATTGCACTAACAATTTTAACATTAGTGCGCGGAGATTCGGCAGAATCCGGTTTTCTCATTAAAGATAAATTCGTGTTAATATACCTAAGCATGCACTCATTTATTACAAAAACAAAAACATTAAGTTCCGCTGTAAGCATTAATGAACTCATTCAAGATGTTGATTTCATATAATACAAAATATTAACATTTTTTTAAATACTGAAATACCCCCCCCTCCCTTAAACTGTATGTAAATCACAGCACTGATATTTGACGATAAATATAATTAAATCTGTAGTACCTATCTAGGTGGACCAAAAAATGACGTTTCGTCACTGAATAGTGATGATGATGGTGATGTTTAAACATTTATTTCTTGATTTTTAAGGCATAACCATTTCGAAACTAATCAAGACTAAAGTAGTCCTGCGTTCGAATAGCTCACTGCTCTTTGGACTAACTTATTATTCCATAATTCGGGAATAACTAATAATATTTTTATTAATAATATATTTCTCTACAATATACAGCAGTAGGCTGTTTAGGGAGATGAAAAGATAATTTTATTTAAAATTCTATTATTAATTCAATTAAAAATAATATTGTCAGTATTGTACCTATGCTGACATTGTGTTTAAATAAAAATTTCATTCGAATATATTATAATAGAATTCTACTAGCGGTCGTCCAGTGATCTAAATTGGACCTTAACGACAACTTATACTTTGAGCAATTGTTTGACCATAGCATACAGGGAGAGAGAGAGAGA